ACAAGTTACCAAACAAGGTTTGGTATGGTTGCAAGATCGTCTCATTTGTTGTTGCTTAATGTGGTGGTCAGGCACCATTATGATGGATCCAGAAGTTCTTGGATTTTTCTCACTCATCCATTATCTGTTCCACACCGGATGAGAGAGGAGAGAAGGTACTGCTTTAAAAGCAATCAATCTGTTTTCTCAGACTGGAGGGGGGAAAGTAGATTCAGGGCTGCAGGCAATTACATATTTACATAGTCGTGTAGCTAGACCATAGTAGGAGGTCTATTAGGTAAACTCATGAAGTTTGCATTTTATTTCATTTTGAACTTGAGTTTCAAGGTACTGGAACCTTTTTACAGAAGCAGTTTGTATTATTTTTATTATTCCAATAAAGGAGTGCTTATTGAACAGATTTGTTTAATAGCTGATTTTTACCAAGGTTGTCCCTTTTCAATTGATTAGATCTGTCCTATTGAACTCATGAGTAGCTGAGTTCAGTCTTTCTTGGATTAGGAAACATATAGGCTCACCTTTTTTAAGTTTAATGAGCTCCATTTGAACAAAGAAAAAAGCAAGTATGGAGATGAGCTCATTGTACACGCATTTGACTTCAGGCCATCCTCAAAACACAATTTGTATGAAATAAATAGGAGCTCCTACATGAATTATCAAACCAGCCCTTGTGTCTCTTGAGGGCCTTCTCCTACCCATAAGATTATACCAGTGTGTGTGTGTGTGTATGTGTGTGTGTAATGATTAACATGTCTGATTTGAATGTTCAACTTGTTCCAAGAGCCACAATTTTGTTTGTTGTTTTTCTTTTATTTTTAAACTATTGCAAGCCATTAGAGTGTTCCGTTATGACATGAGCATGACAGATGAAGCAGCTGAAATTGTCTGTCCCCAGCTTTCCCATCTTTGAGCTCTTTTTGAATCACAGCCAGGCAAGGCATTTATAGAATTTGTTGAGACAAAAATCACTCCATAGAAAAGAGCAGCAGTTCAGTAGTAGTACAGGATTTTAACTACAAAGGCAACATTTTTAGAAGTCTTAGGCGAAAGGCATGTTTAAAACGTTGTCAACACTCCATGAAGAGGAGATTTGGGGACTTCAATGGGAAATCAACTTAACTCTTGACTGTGGCCTATTTAGCGTGGCCTTTTAAGATGATTCTAACAGTCTCGTTTTTAGTCACTGCACATAAATTTCTAAAATATAAATTAACCTTATATCCATCAAGTTTTCTTTTGCCATGTTTAATTGTATATATTTTACCTCCTATTTCACTAAAACAAATGGATCTTTGAACTTATTAATAGGAAAGTGGAAAACAGAACCGCTTCCCTCCATCTCAGAGTGTGATTGGTACATTTTGATTACCCATTAATTCATTAGGGGATGTGAGAGTCATTCAGTCAATAAATGCTTATTGCATGCCAGGCACTGGGGACATGGCAACAAACAAAGCAAAGTTCTATTCCTCATGGAATTTGCATTCTAGCTTGGAGAAACAAACAATAAATAAATAAGTAAAAAATTTGTGTAAGAGATGGTGGGGTGAAAAAACAAGCAAGGAAAGCAGGTAGAGTTTGGGGAAAATTAACTAGGATAGAAGGTGATGCCTGAGCAGGGACCTGAAAGAAATGGGGGAACAAGCCAGGTAGATAACTAGAGAAGGACATTCTAGAAGGAAAAAAAATATGGGTAAAGGCTCTGAAGAGGGAACACGTCTGCTATTGAGGAGCAATCTGTCAGAAAGTATTCATTTACCTATAGGAGAGAGATTCACATCACAGAGATGTAAACTATTGTTTTGATGAGAAACCGTAACTGAAGCGAAGGTAGAAGTATACCTTGCTTGAAGTGAAAATATTTGAAAGTCTGGATTTTTTTTTTAAAAAAGGCTAAAATTAAAGATTTATTTAAAGGATTTAGCCCACATTTAAAAAACATAGAAAGTTTTCTCTAGTTTTGTTGCCAAAAGTGAAGCATCTCTGCTCTGAATGTCAACACTAAAGCACAAATTAAAAAGCAGGCACATGATAGTTCAGTAATTTTATCACTGAATACACAGAACATAATGTACACTTGGCCTCTTTGATTTGGCATGCTCAGCCCAAAATAAGGAAGCTCACAATAAAAAAAACTTATAGAAATACCAAGTATAAAACTTTTAGAATAAAAGCAGCAAAGGACATTGTTTTCTTCACGAGTACCATATCTGAAACCTTAAATGCATGGCTCCAACCACTGTTTTTCAACCATTTCTTGGTTCACACTAATAGTGAAAAAGGACTTCCCTGTTAACACTTCTACTTTGGTTCTGTTCAAAGTGAGTAAGAAAAATCTAAAGTGTGATTCATCTTTAGTAAACCTGTTTTTCCCATCAGAAAATAAAACTGGGTATTGCCAAAGATCAAATCTTTCCATTTTTATTTTTTATTTATTTATGTTTTGCCATTGCCCTTTCGACAAATTCTACAGCTCTGTCATTTTCAAATCCAATCTGATAACTTAGATTACAGATCTCTGTGTGCCAGGAGACTGGCCATGGGAGATAGTTGCCAACTTAAATTCAACTGTTCTTTGTCACTCAAATACTGCTGGGTTTGGCCTTCTTTAGATCAATTAAATTAATGGAAAAGGAGCCCACTTAAAAATCAACTAAAATACAATATTTTCTGTCTGGAATCATAATATTCTTATCTCTCCCCACAACACAAAAAAACTAAAGAAGCCTCTTTCTATACATAAAAGTGGGAGGTGGAACCTTGTACATTTTTTTCATTACGAGCCAAAATAATCTGAAACAGGATAATTGTGGGAGTTAAGAGGCTCTCAAATTTTATAGCACCTCATTCCTGGATAATGGGTTTAAATTTGTGTTATAATATTCTCTCCCTTCTTAGATCATTGCCCAGTTTAATTTTTACACATAAGTTATCTCTATGGCAATAATAATAATAGCTAAAATTATATGCCAGGCATGGTACTAAGTGCCAGGAACAAGTAGAGAAAAAGACAAACTAGGGCAGTGATGGCGAACCTTTTGAGCTCGGCGTGTCAGCATTTTGAAAATCCCTAACTTAACTCTGGTGCCGTGTCACATATAGAAATTTTTTGATATTTGCAACCATAGTAAAACAAAGACATATTTTTGATATTTATTTTATATATTTAAATGCCATTTAACAAAGAAAAATCAACCAAAAAAATGAGTTCGCGTGTCACCTCGGACACGCGTGTCATAGGTTTGCCATCACTGAACTAGGGCCATGTCCTCAAGGAAATTACAGGATAGGGACTGACATTTGTGATCATTATCTCCATCTTATAGTTGAAGAACCAGAGTCTTAGAAAGGCAGCAACATGCCTGAGGCCAACTAGCAATGGGACTTGAACCAGGTCTCTCTGCCTCTGAAACCTAGACTCCTCTAACATCTGAATCAATTGAAGCACTGAACAACCATAAAGGCAGCAGTAGAGCCATTCTCTGATGTTCCCAGGCATACTCCAGGTGACCCAAACTGGAGGTAGAAAAATGTCCATGGTCATTCCAGAGTCAGACCTTACAGGGTATCTTGAGAACTTTGATGCTGACTCAAAAGAGATCCTCCAAAATACCTCTCCACGTCGATGGACCTCCAGGGTAAACTGGCACCTGAACCCACACTGTTATGGAGCTCTGAGCCCTAAAGCACTGAAGATCCTATAAAGAGGCTTACAGGAAGGCTCCTCCTGCCCTCGGCTGGAAAATTGCCACCAGCCAGTCCCTCAGCACATGACAAGAATCAAGTCATTTCTTTCTATTCTCCTTCCTTCAGAAGAAGTTTCCTGGGGTTCATCCCCCACACCCCAATGAAGGCTAACATCCCTTTTTCACAGTATCATCACGTACCTATGGATGTGCATTCAGCATTCCACTTCAGATCCCCATGCAGACAATAAAGAGACTAGCTATGCAAACCTGGAATCTATGGAACAGAGAAGCCCCTATAGAAGTTGACTGGACTGTTCATAGTATTTAAATAATTTTGACATCAAGTGGCCTTATTTCCAAATATATTCTTCCTTGGTGTGGGAAGACTACTTTATTTTTTTTTAATCATATTGTGAAAATTACATTGAATTTCCATCACAGGGAATAAGGAAAGCAAGTCAGTTTAACTTGCATTGCTTTGAAGGTATTCCATTGGTCAAAATGACTAAATATGACCAGAAATCATCAAAGATAATGTCTACATATTTCTAAACTAAAAGGAAAACAACATTAAATAGGAACTCAGTGGTTCATTTCATGAGTGAAAGACAGTGTTTTTGTGTTTTAAAAATGTTTAAATCTCTCTATCCTCCCCTCCCACTCTAACCTATCCCCACCCTAAACCCCCATTTAACCAAAAAGAATGATTTTCTAACCTTTCTTCTCCATCTAAAAAGTTTTAGGCTCAGACAGTGTAGCTCAGTGATTGATCCTCGACCTATAAACCAGAGGTCACAGTTTGATTCCCAGTCAGGGCACATGCTCAGGTTGTGGGCTTGATCCCCAGTTAGGGGGTATGCAGGAGGCAGCCAATCAATGATTCTCTCTCATCATTGATGTGTTTATCTCTCTCTCCCTCTCCCTTCCTCTCTCTAAAATCAATAAAAACATATTGAAAAATAAAGTAAAAAGTCCTTCAATTTCACACTTTACTTGACCACCACGTGCAGAGGGGTAAGAAAGGAGTAAAACTGTAAGCAGATTTTAAGGCTAACAGAATTCACTCACTTTTTATGTTCTACCCTAGCCTCTCAATCAAGTCAATAAATATATAGCAAGTTTGAATTTTGGTCGTGACACTACAAGACTTAGTCTGCCATGGTAATATTTTTAAACTTCATTTCAGCTTCTCAAAGTGATGTCATTTGATCAAGTCGGTCAAGAAAAATTGTCATTTGTGGCCCAACAGGGGCCTGAGGTGGCCGGCTGAAGATGAGGCGGTCCTTTCCTATCCAGAGCAGTGGTGTTGAGCAGGTGAAGAGGTGTCAGCCGGCTGGCTTCTGGATAGGGGTCCATGTCAGGAGCGGTAGGCCGCAAAGTCTCTTGATGGAGCATAGGGATGGTAGTGCCTGCGGGTGGGCCCCAGCCTCCGGGGGGTCATGTTCAAGTAGTCGCTCTGAAGGACCCTGTTCCTCTTACTCTTCATCTGCAGAAAAGAGAAGTGTCATTGTGAAGGGCCAGAGACATGGAGGGAGATATCAGTTCTAAGACTTTGGAGGCAACTATTCAGACCATAGACTGTCACATGAAGCTGAACATCAGAATTCATTAAGCACCTTGGACTTGAATCATGACTAATCAAACCTAACTACTTTGGACTCTTCTAAATTAACTTGAAAAATCTGAATCAGAGAAGGTATCTTAGAGAAATGCACCCCTGTTATTCTCAAAGAAGTCATTTAACCTGAATTTCAAAAGCATATCTCATTTACATATCTGCTGTTGATATATAAATACTCTTGAAGGTCCTTCCTCTTTTGCAAAGGTTAAGCATCCCCACTGCAATCTTCTTACTTTAATCATTTGCTTAACAAGCTGTTTTTCCATAATTAACCAGAGAGGACCTTCAGCCTTCAGAGATTGGAGTAATCATAAATTTATAGCAGTGGATTCCAAATGGGAAGATAGTTCTAGGCAACTAGTTGTATTTCTATTCCTTTATATGTATCTACATTTCCTGGTCCTCAGGCTCAGCTCCCTCTGGAAGAATTTCTATGAGGGGTGAGAAAAGTAAGATGATACTTAACCTGGAGCAAGAGATATTCTTCCATAAATCTTAGCAAAGTTTGGATTAAGGAGCATCTTCTCTGGATCAATAGGATGGTAAAATGTATTTGAAAAAAAAGACCCTCAAAATTCTAAAATTAGAAAGTCATCCAGATTTCTGGATTCAGAATTCTCTATTATGGAAAAAAAAATGCCGATTTCCTGGCACATAGGCCTGATGCATAAGTAGAAATGTTGGACATGAATGATATGAACTCCTGCTTAAATAAGTCAGCAAATGGCTTCAGCTCTGGCCTTATTTCCTTGCACATCTACCTGAGCATTTCACACCTTCCTTGTCAAAGGGGCATGAGTAAGTAGTAAAGAAAGGTTGGAAAAACACTGACCCCCACATTACTATATATGAGTAACATGTTTTCAGGCCTCATTTTCTTGAACTCTCAGCAGCATTCTTTATGATTGATTATTCTCTCCCTTTTGAACCACTCTTCCACTTTGCCTTCCATGAGGTGGTACCATGGTCAGAGAGGCGGGTTTTCATCCTGCCTCTCTGACCATGCTTTCTGGCCTCCTCTGCAAGCTCATCCTTTTCTAACTAGCCATTCAGTGTTAGAGTTTCTCACAGCTTTGTTCTAGGCCTTCTCCTTTACTCACTCCATTCTCACTCTCCCTAGGCAATCTCATCAACATTCACAGCTTCAATTATCACCTATTCACCCAAATTTATATCTCTAGACTAGAGTTCAAAGTCATTTTAAACTCAACACAAGAGCCCTAGCCAGTTTGGCTCAGTGGATAGAACATTGGCCTGCAGACTGAAGGGTCCCAGGTTTGATTCCAGTCAAGGGCATGTACCTCAGTTGCACGTTCCCCAGCCCTGGTCAGGGTGCTTGCAGGAGGCAACCAATCAATGTGTTTCTCTCACATAGATTGTTCTCTCTGTCTCTCCAACTTCCTTCCACTCTCTCTAAAAGTCAATTGAAAAATAGCCTCGGTTGAGGATTAAATAAACAACAACAAAAACCCCTCAAGGTCTTCCCCTAAACTCAGGTCCTCTCCGAGGATTTCTCATCTTAGTGAGTGACACTACATATATAGAGTTGCCCAAGCCAGACCTCCTAAGCCTCATTCTTGCCTTGCCACCTCCAGCTCCTTATCCCCTGTCCTAGAGGACATTTGACAATGTCTGATGACATCTTGGGTTGTCACACCTGGGAGGAATGCTACTGGCATCTAGTGGGTAAAGGCCAAAGATGCTGCTAAATATTCTACATTGCACAGGGCACCTCCCAATGACAAAGAATCTTTCAGCCAAAAATGTCAATAGCTCCAAGACTGAGATGTTCTAATCTAGAATCTGGTCATGAAAAGAAACTGGAATGAAAAGGGAACAATAGATACAAAACATATCGAATTAGCTTGAGTATTGTGAGACTGCTTGACTCCTCCTTCTTGTTCATACCCAAGATGACTGAGGACTTGAGCCTGGGTGGCTTAGAAGGATGGTGTTCCATCCATAGACATTAGGCAAGGCAGTAGGAAAAGCATATTTGAAAGAGGTTATAAATTCTGCTTTAGTCATTTGGGACCTGAGATGATGGATGGGTTATCTAGCTGGAACTAAGAAGAGGATAGTATTAAACACACATAATTGGAGGATTCGTTCAGAGAGAGGTAGTCATGGAAACCAAGTGCAGGAGGGAAGCTGCTCTTCAAACATCTTGATTCTATATCCTTTCTACAAAAGAAAGGCAGGAGTTTTCTTGGGCACAGGGTTACAGCAGGACAGGAATAAGGACATGAAAATGTCTGCTCCCAAATCAATGTGGAAGTGTAGAAGGCTCTGATGATGCCCTGGGAAGCATTTTAGTACTTATTCCAACCTTGAAGACTCCCCTTGCCAGATTCCCAAATGACAGTCTTTGTCTCCAGACACCCCAAAAAACTATAGCTGGTAGAGAAGGCCCAACAATGAAGATGTCTTGGTTTTGGGTTCTCCGGGTTCACACAAAGACTATGAAAGATCTGCTGCAATAACTCCCATGCTTACTCTCACACTGTTATCAGATGGTGGGTTTAGTCATTATTACCCTACTTTTAAACAACAGTAGGATGGAAATGACACATGTATGACTGAAAACACTATACAGAACCCACAGTGTCCATGTGCATCTAGCATTTGCGTATATGTTTGCAGAGTACTCACCTGATGTATCTGTGTGACTAGGTCACCTCTCTGACCCTTCACCATCAAATTCTGCTAAGGGCATATGATTTCAGGAACCACCTCCCTTGACCTACCCTTCCCTGCAGCCCTTACCCACTTGTTTCCTAGGAGCAGCAGCATGACACAAGGTAATTTGGTAAATAGAGGATTGAGTGAGAGTAACAGGTGCTGGTCTCTGGCAGCCTGGCCAAGGGGAACTCTTTATTTATTCAAATGTCAGCAATAGGTCAAGAACTGAGATAGAATCTGCAGCTGCTCCCAAAAACCCACTCAGCCTAGAACTGCCTACAATAGCACGTCAAGCCCTCAGGAAGTTCCGGAAAACAGCAATTTATACCAAGGTACAGTGCAGACCAGCCAAAAATGGGATCCCAAAAAAGTACCCAGGAAATGGCTAACCTCTAAGGATCCCTAATGGCCTGGCTGCCTTGCTCAGCAAGGGGCTAGTTGCTTAAACAGTAACAGTTGCAAGAAAAGATGAGCCCAGGGTGAAAATGCTGTATTATTCTATGAAATATAGATATATGTTATGGGGTAACCAAATTGACTATAAGAGGCCACAGATGATAAGATATACAAAGCACTTTAATTTCCCAGTTTATAGGGATCCTGTAAGACAGAATAAGACAAAAATAAATTTTTTAAGACAAAGCAAGATGAATCCCACTGGGAATTAGTGGTACTGCCAAAGAAAAACCCATAGTGTCTATGTTGTTTCCAAGTTGAAAGTAAACTGTAAAAACTCCTTAAAAACGAGAAGCTAATTTTGTCCCTTTGGTTAATAATCAGTACCCTTCTGGCCACAGAAAGTTAAAGCAGTTCCCAAAACTACTTCCTGCAAAGCTAGTAAATTACATTGACCTAGGTCAGCATATTATAGGGGAGCACCTGTCCTGGAAAGGTACCCAAAAAGCCACTATACCTGGCTTTTAAATTAAGACATTGAGATTCCCGATGGGATCAGAAAAAAAAGCACACCAAGAATTAAGAGTCTAAATTCTTAAATCATTAGCCAACACCACAGTGGTTCAAAGCTGGAAGGGACCTTAGATGAAGACACAAGGAACCAGAAAGATAAGGGACTCAGCTAACATCTGAGGAAGAACTTAGGCAATATTTCACTGCATAAAAGGCCCCCATCAGGCTCAAGCAACTTGAAGAAGGCAAGGCTGACAGGCACATTCTCAAGATGATACCTAGTATAAAGGATTTCCAGGAACAAGCAGCCACTTTGTTCCCTCCCCTGAAGAAGGTAGAGATTGGGCAACAGGCAGCATGACCAATGTTCAGAATACCCCGAGAATCTTCTAAAATGGGAGAAATATGTGGGGAACAATCGAGAGGTAAACAGACCGACAAGAGATTGACAGAAGCCCAAGTTGTATCTATCACTGGTATGATTTGTGAACCCATGGCTGCCCAACTTGGCCCAACACCAAGACTGTATGTAGTAAGTACAATGGCTACACATGGCATAGCTCCCAGAAATCTCTGACCCATGTCTGGTTTAGTTAAATGAATGGAGTATGCCTTAAAGATGTGTGTTATACTTCAGATATGTTTATTTAAGTCCTTAATTTGGCTTCCATGAAGGTTATGAGGTTAAGCATCACTAAGTATTAAATGTACTTAATCCTAGATAGATGGCAAATATAAAGAGAAATAGTCCTTTATCCTTGAGGAGCATACATTTCTTGTTGAAGGAGCGAACGACTCATACATGCATATGACTTTTAGAAAACATTTCAAAGACAAAATGAAATCAATACATGATTATTCTATATAAGAATAATGTGTATATAAGAACAGGAAGTCCCCGAGTAAGGGAAAGATCCTTGATAAGGAGGTTCCCTTCTTAATAGTAGATATGATCATCATGATATCCTCAGACCTCAGCAAAAAATTCAATGCTGAAGTAGGTAAAAAAAAAATATACCAAGTTTAGGCATGAAATTTGCAAAAACTGGTAAACTCCAATTCAGTGATGAGAGCTCAGAAAAGTCTAATTCTCATTATAGTTTCATAATGACAGTACCATAGTTGGTCTCACAAAATTCAACTGCTTCTGAGGAGATAAAAATATGACTCAGAAAAACAGACCTAGTTTCTTTGCTAGGTTTGAATGCATAATTTCAGTGGCCAAACTTATCATGATTTTTTTACCCTGAGCCAAAGTTCTTCATTGACTTCAATTGTCTAGATTCCCAAGTTGCTTAGATTTTTATACATATGTACACATTAAAACTATTTTATATGTCATAATGATACTGCAAACGGGGAGAAAAAAAGTAATTGTCCTTGGTACCCTACCCTTATTTAACCATTTAGCTTTTTATTCTGTTTGGCCACCTAACCAGTGCCTTCTGGAAAATAGAATGCCCATCAGATTTGTATCCCAGAATAAGCTGGACAGGCTAACAGAGAACCTACTTCAATCTCGCAAGGGAAAAGGAACTAATAAATATCACATGTTAAACGGAAAATAAACTACATAGGCAACATTCTTGAATATGATCAGATCATATGTGGCAGAAAAGTTTACATAAAAGCAGTGCTGCTTCTCTTACCCAGTAAGTAAAAAGAGCCACTGTTACCAGCAAGCTATACAAAGCCAAGACTCCAACAACCACCACCAGTGCCCAAAATGGCTTAGAAGATTCAGGAGTTCGGTGAGCTGGACAATGATGATTCTCTGAAAAATAGAATAGAGTGCATTAAATGACATGGGAGTGGCACTTGAGTACATTTCCTTCCTTCTGAACATTATGGAAGAATGTGAGAGGGACCAAAATATGCAAAATATCACAAGCTTAGAATGTGCAGACTTCCTCTTTGGCCTATTCTCTTTGGGATTTATCCAATCCCACTACTCATCAGGGCCTAGTTTTCAAGGCTACAGTTGAAAACCATTCCTTTAAAGTGGTACATTCGTAGAGTTGCATGTTACCTTTCACATGGATAATGGTTCCATTGCTCTTCTCATTGTCAATGTAAGGAGGAGGATACATGACTTCTATTTTGCAGAAGTAAATATCCGTTTGGTTAACAAACAAGTTCCAGAGGTAGAATGTCACTGTTTCGTTGCCCAATTTCCCATCACAGTGGAATCCTGTTTTTGAGCGAAACTCAAGCTGATGGGAGTAGTTGCCATTCACAACACAGACTTCCACAGCACTATCCGCTCCCTTATAAAGGGATGCCCGGAACTCCTTTGAAAAGAGGTTGTAGGTATACTTGCAGCTAAGGTTGACAGCATTGTTGTACACCACAAGCATGGGTGATTGCTTCACCAAAATCTTGTTTTCTGGAGGAGGAAAAATAATTTGTTTAGAACAGGGTATAGAGACTTTTTTTCTGAAATCAAAGTAAAGCAATTAACAAAATAAACAGATCTCCTACATGCATCTTGGGAAGGTATCACACCCTGAGCTAGACAAGACATGTTAAGCAAACTACTGGAGTATATAGATGCTACGGAGTATAGTAACATTGTTTTTCTTCCCTTCCTCTCCCTTCAATTCCTCCTTCTCTCTGTGGGTGCCAGGAGAAGGAAACCAAACTGGGTAACCATCTAGGGTTTCTCTCCAGCCTTACTCAGTTTCCCTGACCAAGTCCTCCTTTTTAAAAATTTCTGCAAAGGAATCCTAGTCTCATCTTTTTTCTTACATCAGCTCTCAGAGTCAGATCAGGAAGAATTTGAATGCCCATTACAACAGAATCCAAATAATTAGTAACAGAAACACAATTCCTGGAGGGCTCAGTAAACAGAAATACAAATGCCTAACCCAAACTTTCTGTAAAGGAGGGAGATCCTGGCATTTCTTGTTGGGGTTGATTCTTCCCATCAGAACCTGCCCGATGATTTCTTCTAAGTACACAGAGAAAAAGGCCAAGCAAAACAAAGCCACACAAAAGACAAGTTGGATTTTTCTGTGGAGACAGCTGGAACTTTTTGATTCTTTACATGTGTACTTTTTAGTGCTCTTAGGGAGTATTTGTTGAATGAATAATAAATGAAGCTAAACTTATTGTTGAGACACACATTTTGAATAAGGATTTAATGAGATGGCTGTTAGGCTTAGCTGCGGATAATGATACAGCCAGATCACCATCTTTCACTTATTGGTTATTTAATGAGATCCTATTATTTTCACAGCAGTATACAAAGAAATGTAACATGTGGTCCTTGCTCTCAAGAGGCTTGAAAACTAGGGATCTCGAGGAAATACAAATCAAAAGCTGAATGAATTGAAGCATATAAAACGAGGTGTTCAAAATGTAGAACCTGCTGTATTTTGAAAGTATAAATAAAATAAACATAAATGAAAAGATTGAAGACTGATGGTTCATTGAGCGCATTCATTTACCCTAAGAGATATCATTATCTGTAACTTAAAAACTAGCAAACGCATAAGCTGGAATTAAATAATTTTGTGGCACTATCATGAGTGAGTACTTAGAATTCAAGTGGTCTCATTGTCATTATATTAATGGCCATTATCTTAGCATAGCTTGTGGAAATATAGTTAATTTACAAAAAAAATCGTTGAAAGCAATTAATTCCTGCAACTTTTTAGTTCAATTTTACAGACATAATACTTTCAAATAAGCAATATTCTCAGGGAGTTGTAGTTTAACTGATCTTGGTAATATAGAAAATGGACAATAACATTCTAGTAGTTTCAAAATGGTGTTTTAAAAGATACAGTTGACCCTGGAACACTATGGGTTTGAACTATGCAGGTCCACTTATATGCTGTTTATATGCTGAGTTTTTAGATAAATACTGTAAATGTATTTTCCCTTCCTTATGGAATCTATAGGGTTCTCTATATACAATATCATGTCATCTGCAAATAATAACAGTTTTACTTCTTCCTTTCCAGTTTGGATCCCTTTTATTCTTTTTGTCTGATTGCTGGCCTCATAACATAAGCTTGGGAGTTTTCCCTCCTCTTGAATTGTTTGGAATAGTTTGAGAAGGATAGGTGTTAGTTCTTCGAATGTTTGGTAAAATTCATCTGTGAAACCATCCAGTCCAGGACTGATGTGTGTTGGGAGATTTTTGATGACTGCTTCAATTTCATTAGTTGTAATCTTTCTATTCAGATTTTCTGATTCTTCCTGATTCAGTTTTAGAAGATTGTTTTGTGTGTGTGTGTGTGTGTGTGTGTGTGTGTGTGTTTGAGGAATTTACCCATTTCATCCAGATTGTCCAATTTGTTGACATATACTAGTAGCTGTTTGTAATATTTTCTTAGAAATCTTTGTATTACTTTGATGTCAGTTGTTACTTCTCTATCATTTCTTATTTTATTTACTTGGGTCCTCTGTCTTTTTTTCTTGATGAGTCATGTTAGAAGTTTATCAGTCTTTTTTATCTTTTCAAAGAACCAGCTCTTGGTTCCATTGATCTTTTCTTTCTTTCTTTCTTTCTTTCTTTCTTTCTTTCTTTCTTTCTTTCTTTCTTTCTTTCTTCCTTCTTTCCTCTATTTCATTTATTTCTGCTGTGATCTTTATTATTCCCTTTCTTCTACTCCCTTTGGGCTTTGTTTATTGCTCTTTTTTCTAGTTCCTTTAAATTAAAGTTAAATTGTTTATTTGAGATTTTTCTTGTTTCTTGAGGTAGGCCTGCAATGCTATGAATTTCCCTCTTAGCACTGCTTTTGCTGTGTCCCAATGATTTGGGGATTCTTGTATTCTCATTTGTTTCAAGGTATCTTTTGGTATCTTCCTTGATATCATTATTAATCCATTCATTGTTTAGTGACATGTTATTTAGCCTCCATTTTTTGTTGCTCTGATTGTGTATTTTCAGCTAGCTGTCTTCCATATTACTGATTTGATCCCCTGCTTCATCCAACCTACTGTTTATTCCGTCTAGTGTGTTCTTCATTTCAGATCTTGCATTCTTCATTTCTGGCTGGTTCTCTTTTTATGGTTTCTCTGTCCTTTTTATGCTTTCTATCTCTTTTTGAAGTTCTCAGCAAGTTTCTTGAGCATCCTCATAACCATTTTTTGAACTATATATCTGATAAATTGCTTGTTCATTTCATTTAGCTCTTTTTTCTGAAGATTCCTACTATTCTTTTATTTGGGGCACGTTTCTTTGTCTCCCCATTTTGATTTTCCCTCTTGTGAGTCTACCTAGGTCAGACCTACTAGGTTAAAAGAGAAACATTGTCAACCCATCTATTGTATTTGCTTATGGTGTCAAAAAATTGCCTTGACTGACATTTCTGTAACTGAATTGACAAGTTGTTTTGATGATGAATTTAGTGCTTTGCTTTTCAAAGTCTTTCCTTCAGCTAAACCAGCTAAAGGTGCGGAGACAGGAAGCAGTAACCTCAAACCTCTTTCCCTCACAACTCCTCCTTGACAACAGACAACATGAGAGTAGATTGGAGGTAAGAAGGTACTTATCTGCTGCTTATGAGCAAGGCATTGAGAGCTAAAAGATTTCTCACAGATAATCTGTGAATCTTGTGCTATAATTGACTTCTGGAAAATTGAAAGTTGCTGTGCTTCCATGAGAATGGAGTGGAAGAGAAAGCTTGATTACAACAAAAACCTTCCCCTTTATGCCTATTGTAAGTAGGTCAATTACTATATTACTAACCAAATCAGCCCTCTGCACAGGTGGAGTGGATAACCATCTGTAAGGTGTTGCTCCAAGTACCAGAGAAAGAACCTTGACCCTGAAAAGAACTGCATGTTGATTTAAGTGAGTAATTATAGCCCTAGGCAGTTTTGCTCAGTGGATAGAGCATTGGCCCTCAGACTGAAGGATCCTGAGAACAGTTCCAGACAAGGGCACATACCTCAATTACAGGTTCAATTCCTGGTCCTGGTCAGGATGTGTGCAGGAGACAACCAATCAATGTGTCTCTCTCACATCAATGTTTCTCTCTTTCTCCCTCTCTCTTTGTTTCTCCCCCTCCCTTCCACTCTCTCTAAAAGTCAATGGAAAAAATATCCTGGGGATTACAAAAAAATTAGTAATTAAATATGGCTACAAAGTATTTTCTCCTATTTTATCTCATATGAACTCCATATTAACATGTGAAGTAAATCGGCAAGTTATTCATCTTTATGACCATTTTATATGTGGATAAACTGAATTCAGTGAAGTCAATGACTTGCCCAATGTTATAGGACAAGTAAGTGACCCTTAAGACTTGGCTCATACCTCATGACTCCTAATCTACTGTTACTTTCTCTCTGCCAGGTTGCATCAAAACTTCAACACAATTTCAGTGATTGATTTTAGATCCTCTAAAAGTTGGGCTTGATATAATTGGAAGGTACACATATCTAAATTGAGAGCTAGGAAGAAGAATACCATTGAGTGGGGGAGTAAATGGAGTGGGAAAAGACAGGACCAAGATAAATTCCATTTTCTCCACCATTTTGCTGGAGCCCCATCCTACAAAAAGTACTAAGCTGTAGGAAAGCTGGAGATGATCTATGCCAATCCCTTGTTTTCTAGAAAAGGTAACGGAAAACAAATTAAGTAAATAACTCTCTAAGCAAGGTCACACAAATGGTGGAAGAGCTAAGGTTTTATTTATTTGTTTGTTTGTTTAAAAATGAATCTAGGGGCAATGTTTTGAAACATGAATGAATAGAAAACCAGCTTTGTGGATTCAGCAAAATTGACTTAATTTGTTGGTCATCTTTAGAAAAAGTATGTCTCCAAACAGTCTGTGCCTCTAATGCACATACAGAAAACATTTTGCTTACCTTTGCAAAGACTTCCTGAAGGGCATAGATGGATCCCAGATAAGGCCTACAGATAATATGGTCACGTGAAATGCCTCTCTTATAAATTATTTCAGATCCACAAGCAATAATTATACCATGGCAGCTCTTCCATTTCAGCTTGCCCAAGTGTACAAAAGGGTTTGAACATGAACATTTGTCAATAATAAAGTCCCTTTTCAGTCTAAACCTCATTTGGGGAAATCCTTAACTTCAGTCTCTGTGAATTGCATTTATTTGTCATGTTTAAGTTCCATATTTCATATTTCCTTTTCTTTATCATAGCACCGTAGAGAAATAAAATACCACATGGAGGCTCATGAACCAGAGAGTAGAGTAGGCAGCACTCAGTACCTAAATCTGTATTGGGAAGTTAAAGACACAGTAGAAAATATACAGTAGATATTTAGTTAGCAATCTGACTTCCCTTCAGAACCTCTTAACTTTTTGGGGTTCCATTTCAGCACATCTGAGTTTCTTTTGCAGTTTAAAAATTAGGTTGGAAAATCCTAATCACTTTTATTCCATTTTTAAGTTCTGATT